ACTAATCTACTGAATAAATATCACCATAGTTTGTCCTTTGACATTGGTTTTAGAAATGATGTGAGCTAGTTCTTTAACATTGATTTTAGAACTGAAGTTTGTTACATTTTCAAATGCATATCATATGAATGATATGAATATTGACACACATTAACAGCCACATATATCTTACAGGTGGTAGTATAATCAGTACGAAGTGTTCCGAGACATTCCACAAAAACACGGCTCGTCTGAGTATACTGGGGATTCCCCTCTGGTACGTCTCCAACTCGCCTCGCAGTGTCATACAGGTATGTCGTCAGTTAGGAGTGCAGGCAACTTCATCTGTAGTCAAAGCAGTTAAAAGACTGTGGAGTTCTAATTTATAGGGAAAATGTTCATGCCTTCTTGGGTAACCATATGCTGGTTCATAGGGATGTCATTTTGTGGGTAATTCATGTGTTCCTAGGATTCAGTAAACTGATTTATGTTGATGCATGATGTTATCATTCTGGGGATTTAAATATGTGGAGATAGTTAAGCATATATATTTCAGTTCAGCATTTAATTAACTATTGCCCACTGGATTATTGTTTGCCAATTGTGAGAAACACAGATTGTTGTCATATTTAATAGATGTCAGGATTATATTTTGAGTATCTTGTAGTAGTATGTTTATAATTACCTAGAATTTATAAATACACATTTTATTTGTATAAAATATGTTCTACACCCTGCCATGTTTTTGAATTGTGTAGAACATGATCCTATTAATGCCCTGGCATCTGTTTACAGCCAGAAACACAGCCTGGGTCCTGCTGGGCCTTTCAGGGTGATAAGGGCCACCTTGTGATTGAGTTATCAGACAACATCACCCCCACAGCCTTCACCCTGGAGCACATCCCCAAGTCCCTGGCCCCCGAGGGAAAAATTGATAGTGCCCCCAAAGACTTTACAGTCATTGTAAGTAAACAGGATATATTTTCTGACTGTAGCCTGAAAACTAATAGAAGAGTTTTTGTAGAAATATTTATGCATGTTAATTATGCTGATGGGAACAAGAATATCATGCTTTATTATTTCTTCAATAACAGGTTAAGGAATGTGAAGTTTTGTTATATATAATAGGCAAATTTCATTAAGTGTGCAAGCGCTTTATGAAAAATATGCCTACGTGCAAGTCTGTGTGATTCACACACTAATAATTCACAACAGACTTAAAAACATTCCTTATATTTACATTTTCCATATTTTAAGCACCAATAATAAACTCAATATTTGAATTTCTCGCTGCCCTATTTTTGTTGCATTTTTCTAATGTCTCTGTTGCTTCATTGTGACGTCACGTTAGCGCACATTTCTCCGTGTATATTTCTATGCATGAGTATACACTAAAATGGTTTTCAAATCAGTTTCACAGTTGGCTTACTAGAAAAACACAGCAAATGTAAATATTGTATTATGTTAAAACTGAATAAATATTGTTTAACTGTGGAGATATTGATGCTTTCTCTTATCTTGTTTTAAGTGTGAATCACCCCAAACATAAATGTCCATGTTTAAGCTATCGAAATACTTTTGATTCTGCTCAAAGTAACTTAATATAAATAAAGTAAAATATAATGCTATTTTCACTTTAGGGCCTGAACAATGAAAATGACAAAGTAGGAGAGCGTTTAGGAAACTTCACCTATACAGATAGGGGACCCCCTCTACAGACGTTCAAAGTACAGGTAATATATGAAAATATGTCACTAGTGTGTCACAGGTAATATCAGGAAAAGTAGGTCATTATTGAAATCACAGGTAATATCAGGAAATAGTTCACTATTGATATCACAGGTAATATCAGGAAGTAGGTCAATAGTGATATCACAGTATCTAGTACAAGTAGTGTCAGGAAGTAGTTCACTATTGATATCAAAGTATTGAGTACAAGTAATATCAAGAAGTAATTCACTAGTGATATCACAGTATCTAGTACAAGTAATATCAGAAAGTAGTTCACAAGGGACTTAAAATTATTGATAATATTGGGAATAGTTCACTCTTAATATAGCAGTTCACTTGCGATATCAGAGTATCTTTAAAACATATAGAACCAGTTCATTTGTATTCAACCTTACTTTAAAATGAAACAATTCTTTGAGCTGCCAGAGAGTTTCAATTCATTCTTTTGAATTTTGGTTCTTTTTTAACATTTCAGAAGCCTAATGTTGGTGTCTACAAGTTTGTTCAACTGAGTATTTTAAGTAACCATGGAAATCCATTGTATACATGCCTATACAGATTCAGGGTGCATGGTATACCACACAAACCAAAGAAAAGGGAGAAAAATTAACCTCATATGGAGCTATACACAAACTTGAAAAAAGATCTGTGAATAGAGTTTTTCACAGAATAAGATTTACCAATGCAAAAATAGTGGAATCTGTGATAATCATAATATTGGTGTCTTTAAATTTTTTTAGTGAAACCTTGATTTCCTTTAGATCATGGGAGAAAATAAACAATCAAAATAATGGACCTTCACCTTTGAGGTAAAGAGATTGTACATTTTACATAATTGACATTTTTTTCATGGTACTAGAGGCGTTATTATAAAGTGCTGTTATTGCTCAGTGAAATTAATTGTAAACCACCTTAACTGTGTTCACTTGGTGTCTGTAACGACATTTTTGATGTAATTATCAGCTTAATTTATGTACATGTATAGTTTTTTCTTTTTATATGTAAATCCATGTTGTTTTATCTTTATTATATTTCCTAGTGGAATATAGCAATATGTTGTTTTTTTTTAATCGTACATTTTTTAAACTTTGGATCTTAATTGCAATTGATGATTGATTTTAGAGGTAAAGGTTTTTGGAAACAATTTTAAATTCTAGTTTGTTATGTTTATTTTTGTTGTTGAATTTTTGGATATGATTGACTCATATTTGATCGATTAATTTACTTTTTAAATAGATAGGGTAGATAGTGTCAGTAGTGTTTTTTAGCTCACCTGAGCCGAACAATTTTAAAGTTTATGTCACATTTTGTTGCTAGTTCCACAGTGTTATGTGTTCATGTTCAGTATTTTTGTCATGTTGAATTTTTGTTCATTGTCAAATGATTTCTCAAGAACCGAGGCAGCCAATGTCAACTAATTTAAAAATATATATCCTCATATGCATTTATGCTTTTTATCACAACATTTGTTCATTTTTAGTTAATTCAGGTATTTGAAGAATTTATGAGTAATGTAAGAATCTTTTATTAGAATATAAACTGTGCCAGGAAAGATAAACTTAAGGGGAAACAAATATTTTAAAATGGATGTAGTGTCATAGAAACATCCTGAAAAATGGCTGACCAATGTTTTACATAGAAAGATATAAGAAAATTCTTTAAAAATCTCTTTTAAGGTGACAAAGCCAATATCATATTTATATGAACTGTTCAAACTTTTAGATTCAATTTTGTTTAGTAAGTTTCATGATTTTAGAGGGGACTTACTGCGGGGATAAATGGCCGACCAAAGTTTTACATAGAAATATATAGGAAAATTCTTTAAAAATCTTCTTCTCAGAATGACAAAGCTAATTCATCATATTTATATGGAAGCATGCTCAATAGGCAAAGAAATATGTCAGTTCAAAGTTTGTTCAAATCACCCCAGTCAATAGGGATGACCGACAAAGAATGAATAATATATGTTCTTTGAGGCATTTTCTTCTTTTAAGAATCAAAACACAGTAATTCATGACTTTTGATTTTGTTTTGTTTATATATGGAAGCATGCTACAGGATAGTGAGATTAAATGCAACAAATGATTTATAGGGCGGGGCCAAAATGGCCGACCAAGGATTTTTCTATAGATATACAATATAGGAAAATTCTTTAAAAATCTTTTTCATAGAATGACAAAGCCATTATTCATCATATTTATATGGAAACATGTTCAGGTAGTGTAGATTCCTAAATGACATTGCTACCCCCGGTGGTGTAAGAATGGTCATTTAACAACATGAAAAACACTTTAAAAATATATATTCTTTAAAAATCAATCATTTTCTAAAAAATAGCAAATCCATGATTGGTCATGGGAATGGATTTAAACTTTACAATAAAAAGCCATTTTATACTAGTCCTACCCTTGGTGCTCAGGTGAGCGATGGTTATGGGCTTTAAGGTGACTAGTGATGAAATAACTAGCACAACAGGGTTTGAATCTCCTTATGATATATGACATTTCAGTTGTTTGCCTTCCATTGAATGCATTTTGCAGTTAGATTTTTAATTGTGAATTTAGACACTGTGCCCTCATTGAATTTTAAAAAAAAAAGATGTAACAAGGTAATGAATATGCATTTTAATATGCTTTTGTTAGATTGTTATCACAATATTTGTTAGATGTGCATTTATAGATAATTCAGGTAATTTTTAGAAAATATGAGAATTTTTTATTAGAATATAAAATTTAATGAATGATAAATTGTACAGAAGCTAAACAAATATTTTAAAATGGATGTAGGAATGAAACTCTTTTCCTCATAGAAACATCCTGAAAAATAAAACAAACACTTCACAGTGATTTATGAAGAACTGAATTGTTCAATAAACAACTAAAAACTTTATTTGTAGATTTGTCTTTTAAATGATGGTGGAAAAATTGGAGAGAAGGAAGATAACTGAACTGTTCAAACTTTTAAAACATTATTTGTTTAGTAAGTTTCTGATTTTAGAGATGGGACTTACTGCAGGATAAATGGGACCAGCCATACAGATAAAGGGTGGCGTGAAAATTGAAGGATCTGAAATTCCAGGGACAATGCCACTGTAACCAGTAGTCATATGGATATACTCTGTAAAATAGGCAAAGAAATATGTCAGTTCAAATTATTCTGAAGAAGTATAAGGACATGGTAAAGTCAATAGGGAAATACTATAGACAGGCAAAGAATGAATAATTTTGCACTGTTTTGTGAGGCATTTTATTCTTTTAATAATCAAAACACAGTTTTCATGACTTTTGATTTTGTTTTGTCATTGTAAATCATAGGTATTGCGAAATAATGACTTCATGAGAGGAAAATTAAGCAAAAATAAAGTTCTAGCACAACAAGTGATTTATATTGTACAATTTTATAAAGATTTCTAGCTGATGGATTTTTCTCAGAAAAAAAAGTAAACAAAAATTGAAAAGCAAAAAAATAGTGTCAAAATTTCAATAAAATTCCCATGTTTACCTGCCCATTTCAAACAAGTGAGTATATTTAATTGTTCTTAAAAATATGTGACATTGCATAACAATGTATTTAAGTAATAGCCATTTAATAGTATGATCACAAACACTTTTAAATTTTATTTGCTTTTGAAATTTAGAAAAGTGTGCGTTTTGAATGTTCTGAAACTTACGTCCTGGGGAGTGTCCCACAATGCTCTCTGAGACAGGAATACACCCGGCTTCCGTCACAGAGGAAGTGACGGTCAGGTTTCCTACCACCATGACGTAACTCTTCAGGGACAAAGTCTTACCACCGGCACCGATGGTGGTCTGGGTCTCCTGAGCGTTATCTGTATCAGTGATGAAAGTAGAAGCTTGAGCACAACATATTGGGGTACCTTGTTTTCTGGGTCTTATTGGTTGGAAGTTGATATGACATGTCATATACAATATACTATAAAGTTTTGCACTTTTGAAGTACATACAGGAAATTTTTCAAAAGTCAACATCATCCAATGAAATTACTTTTCTGCTATATACGGTACGTTGTATCCGTTTGATATAAAGAAGAATGTAGCTTTGCACGGAATTGCAAATCCGTACTATATTTGTACACTTGATTCTGCAACGAGTACAAATAGCACTTTGGAGTTTATTAAAAAAAATTGTATTTTTTGTGAATTTAGAACACTGTGCCCTCATTGAATTTCAGACCTGTACAAACAGGTGCAACAATGTAACCTTGCCTGATTTTTTTACTGTCTATGTTACAATCTACTTGGTCAGGGCTTTAAGATCAAAATTCATATTTCATTCAGAAAAGTCTAATCACAGGAAATATACATTTTAAAAATATCAGAACACTGTCTCTTTTGCAACAAAAGCCTAGCAATAAGTTATAGTATAGGAAGGTTGAATTCCACTACTGTGTTTATGTCTCACCAACTTATTTGTAATGGAGAGAAGGAAAATGATCAATTTTTAAAAAAGGGTAATCACATAATCGAAATGGCCTACAAAAAGTAATATATCTTACTCTAAAATACCCCATAGGAAAAATATGACAAATATCAAAATTGTTAAGAATACAGTGCTGTCGCACATTCTTAATATATTTTGGTTAATCAAAAGCTGAGAAAATTATGGTCAGAATTCCACCCTTACATGCTATAGGTTTCTAATTCCTTTTGTTTCCTTGGGGCAGAAATAATTATTTAGACAAAAAGATGTCCATTAAAGTTATATAAAGCTTGAAATTGACCAGAAGGGCATGTTCATGAGTACAAATATGAAACCCCTGTTTGTTCAGGTTCAAAAGCATAAAATTAAACATTTTTGAGGGGTCAAACATTCTTAAGTCCATGATGATTTCATTACATTGAGGAAAGGTCTTGACATGTGACATACCTGGGATGCAGTTTTCTTGGAATGGTGGTAGAGTGGTTCGTACACACGTCGTACCATTAATTGAGTATTGTACACCCTGTAAACATGAATATGATAATACAATGAAAGTTATACACAAAACCTTTGAAACAAACCTACTCATTCACAAATGGAATCCACTGCCTCGAATAACAGCAGATAAAATGTAAAGATGGTAATGAACAGTTTACAAACTCCATTGAATTGAATAAAAATCGGGCGCACAACAAATCCGAATCTCTAATATATCAAATTTGGGATCAGGTGCCATGTGTAGAAGTATATACCCTGTCGACCGGTCACATTCGTTGTGTGCTTCTTGTCATAATCGGTAATTGGGAAAATCCATTGACAATGCAGAGTGTTAAAATGGACTAACAATTGGTATCAGTCAGCATTGAACTTAATGATAGGTTGAACTTGATGTTAAGGTCATTGTTACAGTCATAGGACTTGCGAAATAATGACTTCAAAGGAAAATTATTGCTTGATTCACCAACTTGTTTGTCAATCGTTTGCATAATTTTATTAATTGTAAAGTACATAGAGCATTTCTCGTGTATCGAATCAACTTATACTGGGATACATTCCCAATATGCAGGAACAAGGGTACTGTAGTATATTGTTATTTGCTAGTAAGGGAAGATGATGACACAAAGTCAATTTGTACAACTTTAATAGAATGGAATCAATCAAAATATCTGACACTACATCATTATGAAAATTAGAAATAAATTTGTCGAGTTAAATTTCAAATTTGAAAGTTGCCTAAATCTAAGTAGTTTAAACATGATATGCCTATGAGAAAATGTGTTATACATGTATGT